GACTCGACTGGAAGCTTTCCGTCCTCTCAGAAAGTCTCAGAAAGATTGATCTGATTGTGAGAACGTGTGCAATGTAAACCCTTCTGTATCTGACAGACACATCTTGTCACTCTTTGAGCTTCACAGTTTCTCTCTGGTCTCATTTCCTGCAGAAACACTATTGCCTGAACATAGCACGATAGCTGACCTTTAAAACAAGAGTTTATGAACATTTTCACTATAACTTCTTCTATGTATGTATTGATTACTTGACCCAGAGTAACCCCCCCCCCCCCTCACCAGGTAGGTCTGCAGCAGCTGCTCCACAGAGTCTCTCCGGCCGTATTTAATGATCCAGGACTTCAGTTTGGACTCGGCGAGCATCAGGAACGCCATCAGACGGTACTTCATCTCCCAGAACTCCAGGCGGATCAGGTGAGCGTGAGAGGACGAGGACACCGAGTTAAACCTGCAGAGAGACGGGTTTAAAATGACTTCATGCTGATTCCACCTGAGAAGAACCACGGGTAGGTGATGTGTTATTAAGACACGGTGCAGTCACCAGGGGGATGACTCTGAATATAAGCTGGAGGCAAAGCTGTGCTAAATATTAGGAATAATTAATCAGAATCAGAATTATTTAAAAAAAAAAAAAGGATTAAGTTGTAAAATAAAAATAAATAAATATTGCAAAATAAATGCAAAATTCAATAAATATAAATATATAAAAATGTGATTGGGAAATGCTGAAATTAAAAAAGGAAAGTGTGAAGTCTATGCATATTTATAAGAGCTAGACTTGAACTGAAATGTGCAAAATGACGAATATCTGACAGACAGATGTGGTCGTTTTCACACTTTGATGCACAGAAACACGTTCCTCTAATGACACAGAGCATCTGGAGTTCAGCAAGTTGAAGATAAAGCATGATGTAATAATAATCACCGCTCTGCCAGGTCCTGCAGCTGCTCGGGGGGGACGGGGACCCCGTTCACGGCCCCGTCTCTGTGGATCTGCAGGAACGGCTGCCTGTGGTTCTCCAGGTTCTTCAGCACCTCCTGCAGGAGAACAGTGTGGTTCTTATGATGCTGAACATTCTCATACTGTATGTCAGAAAATAATTGTATTTTGGGAAATGATATGTAAGGAAATACGTCAAAGAACTGGGGAAGAGGTTTCTAGAAGTAGTTTGGTACTCTATTTATGTAAATTAATTTGTGAGGAAATGAGTGCAAGTGACAGATATCTGATATCACGTAAGGTGGGAAGGAAGCACCGCCAACGAAAAACCAGTGGGTAATCGTGGAGGAAATCTTTTCTTGGAAAAACTGAAACACAACTCAACAGAAAGTGGGAAGAATGGACTCTATACAAGAATCAAAACAAAGACACTCTACTGGAACGATAGCTAATAAACACATGTATCATCAAGAACACAATAACATGAAGACCTTTCCCGAGCCTTTTGTTTTGTATTGCTGGCCCTTTGTTACATGATGGTTATGTTGTTGTAACCAGCATGCTAATGCCATGTACAATGTGACAATAAAGATTTAAACTACACAATGAGTCAGCAGATCAGGTGCCTGTGTGGACACTCCCCTTGCTGTGCGTCAGCAGAGACTACAAGGGTCTTAGGTTCCAGTTAGACGAGTAATGTCTGGGTTAGTGTTCATGGCTTCATGTTTACGTCATCTTAATGGTTCATCTTGATGCACACACATTTTCCGTGCTTTCCAATAGTTTAAAATAGTTTTATTCCACTGTTAAATAACCTGTTCAATACAAACATGCTTATAACATTTCTGTGAACTGATATTTGTTTAGTGAGCTTATTAGAGGACGTTCCCTGAGAGATTGAAAAATGTCAATGAAGATTTCAGATTGTTAATAATTACATACAATGAGGGTTAGGGTTAGGGTTAGGGTTAGGGTCAGGGTTAGTCGATTCAAATATTCAATCGCGATTAATCGCAAATGAATCGCACATTTTTTATCTGTTCTAAAAGCACCTTAGAGGAATATTTTTCAAATTTGTAAAATTCTTAACAACATATGAGTGGACAAATATGCTTTAAGCTTTGGTTATTATCATTTGAACAATGACAAATATTCTCCTGAATATTTTCAACACAACAACCTGGAATCTCTCTCTCTCTCTCTCTCTCTCTCTCTCTCTCTCTCTCTCTCTCTCTCTCTCTCTCTCTCTCTCTCTCAGCCCCTCGTCCTCCACAATGTGAAGCTGTAGCCCCCCATTTAGCTATCGCTGTTGAAAGCTTGCTGCTTTCAAGCGTGGTCTGCCGCAAGCGAGCCTTTGGGCTCTGAGACTGCGTGGCGGGCCGAGGACAAATACACATGCGTTAATCGCACGTTAAAATAATTAGTGG